ACGGGCACGGGCGCGCGGGCTCGGGCGGGCACCGGCTGCCTCCCTCCGTAGCTCGCTCGCTCGCTCTCCCGCCCGCCTGCTTGCCGGCTGCGGAGCCGGACTCGCCCCTGCGCTCTCGGGAAGGAAGAAGGGGGCCGCGGACGCCGACAAGTTCCCGCAGGAGCCTCCAATCCCGGCCGAGACAGAGCCTGCGGCTCCGACGGGACAGGAGCGCGTTCCGCGGCGAGGCGCACGGCCAGAGCGTCCGCGGCGGGGGCACCCGGGCCTTCTGCTCTCCACGGGGCCGCGGGCCGGGACTCCATGAGACGGGCCCACGAGGGGCGCAAGATCCAAAGCCCGGGCGGCGCTCGGCGGAGGCGGACGGCGAAGCTGCAGCTGCTGGCGCCTGGGAGCGGCCGGCAGGAGGCAGCGGCGAGAACTTGAACTTGGAGTCAGGAGTGGGCGCCCCGGACGCCCCCCGCCGGGGCCGGGGCGCCAAGGGGCCTGGGCGGCAGCGCTGTCCCCCGAATGGCCGCGGCGGCGGACGGAGTTCCCGCGCCGCGGCCTTAGGTGGCCTCTCGCCATGGCCAAGTGGCTGAACAAGTACTTCAGCTTAGGAAACAGCAAGACCAAGAGTCCCCCGCAGCCGCCGCGGCCCGACTACCGCGAGCAGCGGCGCCGGGGCGAGCGGCCCTCGCAGCCCCCCCAGGCCGTGCCGCAGGCCCCCGCGGCCGCCTCGGCGTCCTGCGGTCCGGCCACCGCCTCTTGTTTCTCGGCCTCGTCAGGCTCGCTACCCGACGACAGCGGCAGTACGAGCGACCTCATCCGCGCCTACCGCGCGCAGAAAGAGCGCGACTTCGAGGACCCCTACAACGGACCCGGCTCGTCGCTGCGCAAACTGCGCGCCATGTGCCGCCTGGACTACTGCGGCGGCGGCGGGGAGCCGGGCGGGAGCCAGCGGGCTTTCTCGGCCTCGTCCGCGTCGGGCGCTGCCGGCTGCTGCTGTGCCTCTTCGGGCGCGGGCGCCGCCGCGTCCTCGTCTTCGGGATCTCCGCACCTCTACCGTAGCAGCGAGCGACGACCTACCACGCCGGCCGAGGTGCGCTACATCTCTCCCAAGCACCGCCTAATTAAGGTGGAGAGCGCCGCAGGCGCGGGCGCCGGGGACCCCATGGGGGGCGCCTGCTCCGGCGGCCGCACCTGGAGCCCGACGGCCTGCGGAAGCAAGAAACTGCTCAACAAGTGCGCCGCCTCGGCCACGGAGGAGAGCGGGGCCGGCAAGAAGGACAAGGTAAGGCGCCCGTTGGCCTCATCCTGAGGTTCCAGGGCCACTGTGCGCATGGAAAAACTGAGGCACCGCCCTGCTTCCAAGTCCCTTCATCAACTTCGGGCTAGGACGCTGAGATCAGGGCTCCCACCCTGCTTCCCAGTTCTTCCCCTTCCTACGCGCTTGCCCCAGATTGTCCGCCTCCTGACGCCGTTCCCTTTCGCTGCTGCTCCCAGAACGTCCCCACTCTGAGCCCAGAGTTCGGTGCTCGCTTTGGAAGTAGCTCGAGCGAAAGCGCCTCGCCCATCCTTGCCCTGGGAAGACTAAGCCAGCTCTTCCGGCCCCGGGGGAGTAAAGTCTTGAAGAGTCAGAGCTGTCACGGACTTATAGGAGCATTTACTCTTGTCTGCCTTCCACACACTCTGTAGATGGGAGACTGAGGTCCAGAGCTGGAAAGGGACTCTCCCGAGATTGCATGGCGTTCTTGGTGGTAGATCTTTACGGGCTGTCTCTAAACGTGTATATGTAAATCTCTCTAAACGGCCTGTCCTGCCCCACCCCCCGCGCTAGGCTTCCAAATCTGGACGGCCTTTTGTGCTGGAGCTGCACCGGGAACCCCCACGTGTGCTTTTCCGGTTGAAACCGCGCTGCCTCCGAGAGCGCCCTGTGTCGCACCCGTCGGTTCCTGCCTCCCAGGGCCGGAGCGTGTCTGCTTTAAGGAGACCCAGCCCCCATCCTCACCTTCCTTCCTGACCCCACCCCCACTCCATACTGTTCCAGGGAAGCGGGGGGGTGGGGGAGTGGGTGTGTGCTTTGTGACAACCCCCCTCCCTAACGTATCCGGTCATCTTTATTCCTCTTTTAAGCAGTCCAGTTAATTACAGCCAGACTGGCTCCCTCCCCTTTACACTCCCATGACACCTTCTCTTCCCCCATAAAATGACACTCTTTCTTTCTACTTCTGTTGAAGGGCAGTGTTTGGATTAAATCAGAGCCCTGTCTTGCTTGCAGTGCCCTGCGCTGGCTGTCAGGCTGCTGCCCTTTTTGTTTTGTTCCTCCTCCCTTACCCTCTTCCTTCCAAAGGTAAACTTTTGCCCAGGCCTGGGCTGGGGGAGACTGATAATGAGTCTGAGTTCCTTTCAGGCCTGGGTGTCCAGACAGGAGGGAGACAGGCTTCTACCTGCCAGCTGGTGCTTACAGAGGGATCTTTTTGTTTTACAGAAAGGAGTAAGGGGACGCCCCTCCTGTAATCTTTCTGCCTGCTCTCCTCTCTCGCAGGTCCTAGGAATAAATAGCCCCTCCTCTGCAGACCAGACAGACAGTGGACAGCATGGGTGATCCCACTTCCCCCTGGGGCCAGTTTAGGGACATGCTCAGAAGTGTGGACTGGGCTCCACAAGCTCCCAGGATGCCACACCTAGATGACAGGGAGCTGGGAGCCAGGTGGCCACCCCAAGAGCTGCCTGGGGGGAGGGGAGAGATTTCTGTGGGAGCTGCCGGGCTTGTAGTTGATCTGTGAGGGAAACACAAAGGCTCCCTGCTGTCTTACGTGCGCGGCCCAAGCTTGGCTCAGTAGGTGGACTGGGAGAACCTGGGAGTTCTTGGGAATGGAAGGTAGGAGAAAAGCCCGGCAGTCACCCCCTCCCCCCACCCCGGGGTTCGCAGTCAACTGCTCTAAATTCCCTGCATCCCCTCCGCGAGCCTTGTTACCCTACGACCACCCCCCAGGTGCGCAAATCTCTCTCTCCCACTGCTCATGGTTCTGCTTATTCACTAAAGCCTTCCATGGCTTTGAAACTTTAGCACACATTTTTTGCCATTTACAGTTAAGTCTCCAGTATTTCAAATACTGTTTTATAGCTGGAATGTCAAGTCTGTTTAGAACTTGGCTTCCTTCCTTCACCAAATATTTCTTGTGGGTCTTCTCTGTTCCCCCGCCCCCTCCACCCCTTGCTGGAGCAAACCCCTCACAGAGTTGGTCTTCAGTGAATACTATGGGAGGCCACAGTGCCTATGATGAGTGCGGTGATGGGGTCTGTGATAGTACAGGAGGGCTGAAGAGGATTGAGGGGATGGGTCAAGGAGTGCTCCTTAGAGGCAGGGCCATTGTGGTGGGGCAAGGGTCGTGACCACTGTTTGCCTGGAGAAGACAGCCTGATGCTTTAGGGAACTGCAGGTAAAGTCCCCTGTGGCTAGAATTAGAGGTTGGAGTTGGGCAGGACCCCAGAGGGGCAGCAGGGCTCAGGTTAGGGAGGGCCTTGTAAGCCAAGCACAGTGGAGGCCAATGAAGGTATTTATCTGCATATTATTGCATCAGGTACGATTTTTAGAAAAGATCTCTCTGGGCTGCGTTTCAGCTATTATGCTGTAACTTTGAGTCCTTTGATCTTTTGAGAAGTTGTCCTCTTCTCAGAGACTGAGCAATATTGGCTACCAGATGTTTTTTCTAACCAGGAGGAGGGGAGGCAGCCAGGGAGAGACAGTAGGATGTTGTAGTGCGGTGGTTCTCAAACTTCAGTGCACTTGGACAACTGGCAAAAACACAAATGCTGGGCCCCATCCCCAGTTTTTGATTCATTACGTATTCGTAGGGCCTGAGAATTGTCTTTCTTACAAGTTCCCAGGTGATGCATCTGCTGTTGCTTCTGGGACCACACTTGGAAAGCCATTGTTCTAAAACAACAGTGGCTTCGCAACCCTGCTCCCTCTGGTTCTCTGGTCTGGATGCAGAGACTCTGGATGTCCTCATCTCTGCTGTCCATGTGGGGGCTGCCTCCTGATCCCAAGGCCAACACCCACCCCCATTCCTGGTCAAAGGAAGCAGCCTGTTTTTCACATTATATCCAGCCAGACAGATTTTGGAAGGCCAGGCAAACTGTAGATCCAGCCCTGAACACCCCAGAGTCCTCCTGCCCCACCCCCAAGGAGCCATGGAATCTCACATCTAGCATATCACTTAGTTTCAGCCCCAGCTTTCTTTTATCAGTTGTTAGGGAAATAGGATGAGAACACTTAGGTCTATTTCTGAAGCTCCCTGTGTGCTGGGGCCTGTGCTGGGTTCTTGCCATGCCTTCGGTGTCTGTGCTTGTTTTTTATTTTATGATTTATTTTATTTTTGTGGTTGTTGAGAATATACACAGCAGAGCATACACCAGTTCAACAGTTTGTCCTCATTTTTGACATCGGGCTGAAGTTGAGTTACATGGTGTTAGAGCCGGAGTTGTTGCCCACGTATCCTTTCAGTGCTTCCAGTGTCACCCCCCACAGTGGTGTACCTTTGGGGGCCCCCTCTCCTGCCACTCAGTACCTGTGCCTCTCTATGTCCACACTTAGGCATCTACTTGTTCTCCCAGGTAATTCCTGGGCACACACCTGGTCATATTCCCCCACTGCCGCCAGCCTGCAGTCTTGGGCATTTTCTCATTTGGAAGAGGGACCGTGTTTATTGTGCTAGTTCCTCCCCTAATATAACATTAACTTCAATTTAGCCAACTTTTATCCAGCACTTATTTTGTGCTCAGAGATCTCTCAGTACAAGGCTGGGGGGTAGGAGGGAAGGCCATCAAAGATGCAGATGTGTCATTTATCTCTGCTCCCAAGCCTAGCACTTGCTGGAATAGATCAACACATTGTATTTTAATGATTTGTTTCCCAGTGTGTTTGTCTTGGGGGAGCTGATGCGGTTGGGGGGGCTTCAAGTAGGAGGTGGCTTTTGAGTTGGATCTAAAAACAGAAGAATTTCGGTGCAAGTGGGAAGGGGTGATTGCAAGCCGCGGGAGTCCTTATTTCACATCAGTACTGTGTATATATGTAAGAGTGTGTGTGTGTGTGTGTACATGCATATATACAACCTCAACGTGAGGGCATGTTCTTGGAAACCAGAGCCTTCTTACAGTGGGTCTCACTTGGGGACGTGAGATAGGTTGGGGCCTGAGTATGGACTCCACAAACTGGAGTCCTTGAGGATTGTAGAGCCAGGGATTGGGTTGAAAGGGGTTCCTCACAGCTATGGTTAAGGAGCATTCCAGGCTATAAACAACTGCTAAAACCTGGGAGAAATGGGATCAAAGCTGGGGAACAATTACAGTGTAGTCCAGGTGAGAGATGGTGAGGGCCTGAACTCCTGGGAAGAGCAAACGAAACTCCAGTAGGTAGAAATGGTATTCAATTGGTGCTTTATAAAAAAATAATGACAGTGGAGGCCAGTTACTTGGTAGGTTTCCTTTTGTGCAGCCAAGCAGGTTTCATCAAGTTATGTTGTCTGCTGAAGTCTTGTTTCTTTTATCCTAATTAAGTAAATGTCGTAAATGTCATTTCTACCACTACTGAGAAAAGTCAAGATACATCATGACATCAGTTTTCTGAGTTCTAAATACATGCTAATGTGTATCAACACCTTGTATTTTGTTGCCATCCACTGAGTTGAGTTAAATAACATGTTTTTCGTAGTTAAGGGATAAGTAATATGTCCTTTTTTTTTTAACATTCAGCAAACAGTTTCTGAGCTGCCTGCTAGGCAGTGGGAATTCAGAGAGATATAAGTGGTGGTCATCTTTCCAAGAAGGAAACTGCTCAGCTTACAGTTGAATACTAGCTTCTCAAGGTCTAGTAGGGAAGACAGAGACAGCTAAAGAGACAATAACACAACCTGATGAATGCCAGCACAGAGTATGTACAAAGGGCAGAGAGGGCCTTAGCTCTGTCTGGGAGGTCCAGGAGGCTTTGGAGGGAAGGCGAGGGAAGGTGCTGGAAGGCGCCGTTTGAGCTGACCCTGGAAGGATGAATGAGAAGTCTCCAGGTAGGGAGGTGGGGAGGAGGGTTCTCAATGCAGAGGGATCATGTAGCATGTGCCAAAGCCTACAGGCTTGAAGGGAGCATGATCTTTGGTTCAGCAAAGCAGGTGTGGGGTGGAGATTGCAGAGGGAGGCTGGAGCCCCAGAAGGAAGGAAAGTGTCGCATGTGCCTTGCTGGGGAGTTGTGTCTTGTCTTTTGGTTCTTTTCATATAAAATCATTGATGTAGGGC